TCGGTATGTCCACCAACGGCATGCTCAGTTACAACGGCTGTGCTCCACATCAAGGTCTGCTCGGGTATCAGCCACGCGAGCTGTGCGATCCCGAGGTCAAGGCGATCCCTGCAGCCGCCGGGGCGTTAGAGACAGCGCCCGACTCCGTCGAGGTTTCCATGCGTCTACGCATGATGGCCAAGGAATCGATCCTGCAGAGCATCGTGGAGGACGGGCTCGCTGTGGCTCAGAACACCAAGATGCAGAAGTTCAAGCTGGAGGACAGCGCAGAGCTCATGGACGGTGCGAAGGCGGACCTCTGGCGAGAACCAGATTCCAAGGTCGATGCAGGATGTCGTGGCCCTTGCGAAGTGATCAAGGTCTACCGGGATGGTTCCACGGCCATGGTCGACTGGAGAGGCCACATTATGCTGGTGCCTGTCAGGCACCTGCGACCTCATGTGGGCTTCGTCTGGCTTCTGCACCAGAAGTGCCACGACAAGGAGGTCCACGGCATACAGCACGAGTTTAACGACACAGTCAAGTAGATGATGGAAATGGGTGGGATCAGGAGCGGCGTTTTCGTCCTACACCTACGGCCTGGTGTACTCGAGCGCGGAACACAGCTACGTCATGGTACCGTCCGACCTTGAGCATTATCCGCCGCCCTTGTGGCTGACTGTTCAGAAGGTGGTCAAGGGCATCCTCAACGGCGCGAAATTTGACGGCATCCAGTTCGGCAGCAAGTACAAGAGGACGGAGGTTATTTCAGCAGCGCAGCGCGGGCACCTCATCACCTGGAACAACAGCAGACGTGAGAGTTATATGATTCGTGACGTGGTTCCCGACAAGGCTCTGTCGCTTTCGATCTCGGGCCCATGGAAGAACGAGAGTTGCTTGTTCTACTTCAGCTGCAGCAGGCCGAGCGAGGAGACGGAGGAGACGCCCGAGGTGGACGTCAGTGGTGTTGGTGGCCATTCGCCTATTCCTTGGATGGCGTCACCATGGACATCGTTCGGACGCTCATGGCTAGACGCGGATAAGGAGGCTGATGACCATCAGCGGCCAGGAGGAGGCCTCGGTTAACCTCCAAGGCTCGGCGGACAGCCGCCGCAACATCAAGAACGCAACAGCCGCCTCGACCTCCGCCTGAAGCTCCAGTTCAGCCAGCTCCAGTACCGAAGCAGATGCGCCCGCCCGTGATATTGCAGCCACTGCCTAAGACGCCTCCAGCAAGGCGCAGGGCGTTGTCACCAGACGTGTCCTTCGTCAGTCCAGAGGTCGAAGCTGGAGTCGCGCGGCCGCCGCCGCCGCCTCCAGGATAAGCAGGAGGTGCAGTTCAGGCAGGTTCTGTGCCAGCCGCCGTTCCAGTTGCAGCAGCAGGTTTCGTTCCTGCACCGCCAGCGCCACCTGCAGGGCCCGGCGCGATCGACCCAGACGATCAAGCGGTCGCAGACATCATCAAGATATCCGAATCACCGATTATTGCACCAGAGTTAGCAGACAGGTCAAGATCAATAATCCTGGCTCCACCTCTTCCTCCACCGGCATCGCCGCCGGCAAGGAGAGGACAAGGTATCGCAGTGCCGGGGTCAGTTCCACCGACTTGCACAACAGTCACCGGCAACGTTGGACTATGGCAATCCTGAGTCGACGATCTTGACATCTGCCAGAACTATCACAGTTGCCAGGAGCAGCTAACGAAGGGCCATCGCCTACTACGTCAGAGCTGGACCGTTCTCGGACGAGAGACTGTGGACCTGCTTCGGATCCGCGACAACATCATGAACACCCTGATCGTAAGGTACGAGAAGAGACACTGAAGTTGCCGCCATCAGCATCGCCTATCGCAGCCAGGCCACGTTCACAGAAACGTGTCGCGTCCTGATGACCGACAAGATACTGCGTGACACGGATGGGCTCCAGATACGAGAGGCCCAAGTACATCTACGACAGGAAGAGCATCATCATCAGCAGCAGTCACCGTACCAGAGCCTGTATTACCTCTTGCCGAGCCAAACGACAACGATGAACCCATTGACTATGGTCCGACAACGAGCGAGAATGTCGACGAGGACAAGCAAGCGAAGCTGGAGCTGCACAGCTATCAGGTCTGGTTTGGCGTTCGTCATGCGGAACACCGACTGGGGCGACCTCTACGCGATGTGGCGCCAGTTGGGTTCAAACCGCACTTCGACGAGGAGTTCTCCATGCGTGCGATGGCTGATGGGGAGCAAATTCTTCACTTCAGTTATCGAGCTGAATGCGGAGACCTACCCTGGACTGCGGAAGAAGCGCTTGCAGTATTGAGTGGGCCTGTGACGAGGCCGATGTGTTTCTATTATGACCTTCGAGAGGGTGAGTGCTTCTGGGCATCTTCGGACGACCTTCTAACACCACAAGAGGTGATCCACAACTGGGGCGGTGTTGAGATCGGCGACTATGAAAAGGCCGTCTCGTTGTGCAGCCACGACGTTTTCGATGGCGACAAGTCGGATAATGCAACGAACGTCGTGGATGGTATTTGGGTCGGCAAATGGAAGAGCCGTGAGAAGCGCATAGTCAAGTCAAGATGTTGTGGTCGAGGCTTTCTGGATCGACAGAAGACGACGGTGAGCCGCCATTCATCAACGGCTTCACGTCTAAGCCACAGACTATTTTGTTCACTCGCCATGGAGTTCGAGCTGACCCTCGAGAGCTTCGATATCTCAGCAGCCTTCGTGCAGGGCCTGAAGTTCTCAGGGGTCGTGGCGAAGGCCAAGGAGCTAGACCGCGAGTTGAAGGGGGCGCGTCAAGTACGGTTTTGCCCGCTGGCGAATACCTGGCGACACGGGAGGAACACGGCACAGAGCAAGATTTTGGTGCTGGATGGTGATATCCTTCTCTTCCTCTTCAAATGCCTCAAGGCATTGTGCGGCCTGGTTGACGCTCCTTTGCTGTGGCAGTTGGCACTGCTTCACTACCTCAAGTTGGACATCGGCAACAGGATGAGTGCGCGTGACGAGTGCTTCCTAATGATCATCGGCGACTGGCAAGTGGCTTCATTGTGTACAATTCATGTGGACGACCACTTGCTGGCAGGCAGCTGCACATGAGTTTCTCGATTTCATCGCCGAGAAGTTGGGGCATAAGTTCGGCAATCCCAAGAGGGCAGGTTTACCATTCGCGTGCCTGGGCATGAAGCACGAGATGCTGTCACCAGGACATATGTCGGTACATCAACAACGCTACCTCGAGAAGCTGCCGGAGGGCAAGTTCACGAACGCGTTCAACATGGAGAAGGACTCCCAGGAGCTGGACGAGTACGAGCATCACCAGTTCAGGCAGCTGGTACGTAGCTTGCTCTGGCTGTGCCTTACGAGGATTGATGTCGCACGTGGCGTTGTAGCTCTTCAGGCGGAGATGGTATGCCCTCAGATTCAACGCCTGAAGACGGCGGACACGGTGTTAGCCAGGGCGCGCAAGACAAAGGACACTAACGGACTACACTATCGACGGATTCGGTTCTGGATCAGGTTGTACAGTATCCATGATTGTGGTCACGCCAGCAAGAAAAGCTGTTATCCTTACGAAGGCAAGTGCGTCATGATTATGCACGACAGCCTCAAGCTCGGCGCGCCAGAATGGATTGCCAGTCGAGACCTATCTCGTGTTGGAGGCTACGCCACACCGTATTCTTCAGTGCTCGCAAGGCGTCAAGGGGCTCGCATTCAACATCACATGTGGAGACGCTCGCGGCAATTGGTTGCACTCAGATGGGACAGCTCATAGCCGCGCGTATCACCGAGATGCTCTGCCAGATAGTGTTGCCGCCCAGAGCGAGTATCACGGCGCAAGGCATGTTAGAGCTAAGCCAGAAGGACATACATATCATCGCCCACGACTCCATGACCGATTGTTGGACCTCTCCGAGCTCATCGCTGAATGCCGTGGTATTCCTTCAGGCAAGAGCCAGCGCGTGGCGATCATGGCATTGCGAGAAGACAGAGTTCATCATAGGGTTCGTTCGACGCTGCACGTTCCTACGAGGGTCATGCTGGCGGACGGACTCAACGAGGAGGGCTGGTACGACCAGCTACTGATGTACTGCGCTACGGGGAAGATCCAGATGGTCTTGATGGACGGACAGGCGGTACGACGCAAGCGAGCAGTACGACACCCGGAAGCTACGGAGCAGGATATCGAGAGCCTTCAGGAGTAGCTGGGCTACGACATCATCTACGACAAGCGTTGACTTTCGTGGAGACTCCACGATCGAGTGATGAGGAAACATGAGCGTTGCTTTTGCGTTGCTCCTCCTCCTCCTCCTCCTCTTCCTTTCTTCCTCCAGCACCCTCGAGATTTTGAGCTCATTCTGGAGTGACGATTCTAGAAGATCATATTCTCATGTAGCCTAGAAAGCCAGCCGGATGTTAAAACAGCAGCGCTGCGCGTCTTTCAGAAAGCTAAGCAGGTAGAGCCAAGTTGTGTATTTAGAGCAGAGTTGAGCTCAGCCCAAAACGCCCGTGGACCGCCCCACGCTCCGCTAGATTATTTTCCAGGGTTCTGTAAAGGACAGGCATCGGAGTTTGATGTTTTAATGATCCCTTGAGCTCGGGGTAGGAGGCTTCAGAACTTTGGGAGAAGTTTCGATGTTTATCGGACTTATCCGTAACAATCGGGCTCAAGCCATTACGTTTTTTTTTGTTTTGATTTGTGTTGTTGTTTTTTTTGTTTGCTACGCTGGGAAACCAACTCCTCCTCCCTCCTCCTTCCCTCCTTCCTCCTCCCTCCTCCCTCTTCCCTCCCTCCTCCCTCCTCCCTTCTCCCTCCTCCCTCCTCCCTCCTCCTCCTCCTCCTCCTCCTCCTCCTCCTCCTCCTCCTCCTCCCTCCTCCTCCCTCCTCCTCCTCCTCCTCCTCCTGCTTTTTGCTCTCCTCTTTTTCCTGCTCCTCCTTCTGGGGTGGTGTTGGGGCGGCGGCGAGCAGCGCTCCCGCCCCCGCGCTCCCGCTCCCCCTCCGTCCCATCCCGAGAGCTTCCGCAGGAAACCTGCGCCAGGCTGGGCGTCCCCGAGGTTGTCGACAGGAGCGGGGGGCGGGGAGAGGGGGGGGACTGGCCCTCCTCTTCCTCCTCCTCCTCTTCCTCCTTGTCCTGCTGCTCCTCCTTTTCCTCTTCCTCCTCCTCCTCCTCCGCCTCCTCTGCTCCTCCTCCTCCTCCTCCTCCTCCTCTCCAGGGTTACCAAATCGGAGGTCGGGAGGTGAGATCGAATCGAAACGGAGACCCCCGCTGGGCAATCGACTTCGGTTGCGCGCTCGTGTCGTGCGTCCAGGCGAGGCGAAGGTGCGTGCGCGGGCGAGACGTGTGATCCCGCCGTTGGCAGGGCGAAGTCGCACCAAATGTTTCCTATGGCGGCTACTGCCGCGTGAGTTGGCGCGCGGTTGTCACGCGGTTGTCCCGTGCTTGTCCCGCGGTTGACCCGATGCTTGTCCCGACGGTTGTCCCGGTAGTTTGCCCGATGGTTGTTCCAGTAATTAGTTGCCCCGATGGTCGTCCCGACGGATGTCCCGACGGTTGTCCCGATGGTTGTCCCGATGGTTGTTTCGATGGTTGCACCGATGGTTGTTCCGATGGTTGCTGCGATGGTTGCCCCGATGGTCTTCCCGATTCTTGTCCCGATAGTTGTCCCCATGGTTGTCCCGGTGGTTGTCCCGATGAGTGTCCCGATGGTTGCCCCGACGCTCGTCCCTACGGCCCTACGGTTGTCCCGATGCTTGTCCCTACGGCTGTCCCGATCCATACACAGTGGTATCGATCGACTGATTGATGTAGAGTGATATCATTGTGTGATTGTACTTGCCCTGATATGCAGTTTACTGCTAGCGCAGCAGTTCTCTGCGCCTGTGGCAAGACATATGGTGACACCGATGGATAGTTCGTGATGCATCGATCTTGATATTGATAGATACATCGTGGGATCGCTCGATCTATAGTGAGATCGATCGATCGGTAGTGATGGCTTCAAATAGCGGGAACGATACATGGGGATGTAGGGATACCAATATATCGTGAGATCGATCGATGGAGGGGGAGGCCGATATCTAGTGGCCTTCAGCTCATCCCGCCACCGTGCCTGGGTTGTGGGTTAGAGGCCTCTTGGATGTTCGTTGGGATATCGTGGGAGGCCTCTCCGGGGCCTCTTGGAGGCAGATTTGAGGCCTCTTGGGGGCCGTTTGGGGGCCTCTTGGGGTCTCTTTTTGGGCCTCTTAGGGGCCTCGTGAGGCCTCTACGGGGCCTTTTGGGCTCTCTTGGGTGCCTTTGAGGGCCTCCTGGGCGCCACTTGAGGCGGAAGGCTTGAATTGTCGGTTCGCGTTCCCCCTCTTGGCCCCTTCTTGAGGTCTTGGGGCCCTCTTGGGCGATCTTGGGCGCCTCTTGAGCCGTTTTGGGGCCCTCTTGGACCGTCTTGTGGCCTCTTGGTGGTCTCTTGGGCATCTTTGGCCGTCTTGGCGCGGCTTGGGGGCTTCTGGGGCCATCTTGGAGCGTCGGAAGCCCGAAAACGCGAGAACGCGAAACACGTCGGAACAAGAACAAGGACAATCAATGATTTTTGCATATTTGGGTTCTCTTGCGGGGCCCTCGTGAAGCGCTCTTGGGGCTTCTTTGGGACCTCCTGGGCCTTCTTGGGGCCATCTTGGGCGTCTTGGAGCGCTCTTGTGCTGTCTTGGAGGCCTCTTGGACCCTCTTGGGCGCTTTCTGGGGCCCTGTTGGCCCGTCTTTGGGCCCTCTGGCCTCATCTTGGAGGCCATCTTGGGCCATCTTGGCTGTGTTGGAGGCGATTTTGCCAGTAAGGGTGGATTCTGAGGAGCTTTCCGGGTGGCCCGCGGGCTGGGCCGAGACCTCACGGGGAGTTCTTTAGGAAAGAACCAAACATTTGGCAGACATTCGGCACGTCGTGCACCCTTGTGGCAAGACCGGCAGATCGAAGACGCCTACGGCGAATCACCGCCGGCCCCTGCCCTTGTGGAAGCGCCTATGTGGCCGAACATTGAGGCCAGGCCTGCCAAGCCATCGGACCATGTGTTCCCTGAATCGGTTTGGAAAGTCTTCGGGGAACATGTGGGCATCTTGAAGGTCCTCTTGGCCGCCTGGAGGTCATTTTGACCCTTTCGGGCCTTCTTGGAGGACGTCTTGGAGGGCTCTTGGGCCGTCTTGGAGGCCATCTTGAGCGTCTTGGAGGCCTCTGGGGCCGTCTTGGGGGCCTCTTGGGGGCCGTCTTGGGCCTCTTGGGAGATCTTTGGGGCTCTTGGGCCGTCTCGGGCCGTCGGAAGGCCGAAAAAAAGCAAATGCCACAAGCCTTGAAACACTCATGAGAAATCAATGATTTTGGCCTTTTCGGGCTTTCCTGGAGGCCCTCTTGGAGGCCTCTTGGGCCGTCTTGGGCCATCGGAAGCCGTTTGGGGGGCCTTTCTGGGCCGACTTGGGGCCCTCTTGGGGTGCTCCAGGGCCGTCTTGGAGGCCATCTTGGGCGCCTTAAAGGCCTCCTGGGCCGTCTTGGGGGCCTCTTGGGGCCGTCTTGGAGGCCTCTTGGGCCGTTCTGGGGCCATCTTGGAAGCCTCTTGGGCGATCGATCTTTGGGGGCTCTTGAGCCGTATCGGGCCGTCGGAAGGCCGAAACGAAGCACATGTCAAAATCCTTCAAACACCTAAGGAAAATTAGTGTTTTGGGCCTTTTTCTGGCCTTCCTGGAGGCCCTCTTGGAGGCCTCTTGGGCCGTCTTGGGCCAGCTTCGAGCCAACTTCGGCTATCTTGGTGGGCTCCTGGCCTGTCTGACGCCGTCGGAAGCCGTTTGGGGGGCCTTTCTAGGCCGACTTGGGGCCCTCTTGGGGTGCTCCAGGGCCGTCTTAGTGCCCATCTCGGGCGTCTTGGAGGCCTCTTGGGTCGTCTTTGTGCCCTCTTGGGGCCGTCTTGGGGGCCTCTTGGGCAGTCCTAAGGCAATCTTGCAGGCCTCTTGGGCGCTGTGTGGGCGATCTTGGGGGCCTCTTGGGCCGTCTTGGGTCGTCGGAAAGCTGAGAAGAAGCGAATGCCAAAATCCTTCAAGAACCCAAGGAAAATCAATGATTTTGGCCTCTTCGGGCCATTCTGGAGGACCTCTTGGAGGCCTTCGGGGCCGTCTTGGAGGCCTCTGGGGCCGTCTTGGACTCTCTTGGGCCGTCTTGGAGGCCGTCTTGGACCATCTTGGGTGAACTTGGAGGCCATCTTGGACCAATTTGGAGGCCATCTTGGGCCAACATGGCCATCTTAGAGGCCATCTTGGGCAGTCTCGGGGAATTTGTTCCGGACGTTGAGGTCCTGGAAGAGCCTCCAGGTACCCCGGCGGGACGGGCCGAAGCCCCAGGGGGAGTTTTTTTGCAAAAAGAACCCAAACCAAAACCGAAATCGTTTACCACGCCAGGCACCCCTATGACAAGCACAGGGGGCGGCGGATCGAAGACGCCTACGGCGAATCACCGCCGCCCCCTGCCCTTTCGGAATCGCCTATGTGGCCGAACGTTGTGGCCAGAGGCCTACCAAGCTATCGGACCATGTGTTTCCCGAATCGGTTTGGAAAGCGTTCGGGGAGCACGGTGGGGGAGAATGAACATGAAGAGGAAGAGGAAGATGCTTCTTGGGCCGTGTTGGGCCGTCGGAATGGCGTGAAGAAACAAATGCCAACAGCCTTGAAACACTTTTGGAAAATGCATGATTTTGGCCTCTTCGGGCCCTTCTGGAGGACCTCTTGGAGGCCTGTTGGGCCGTCTTGGAGACCTCTTGGGGGTATCTTGGGCCGTCTTGGGCAATGTTGACGCCATGTTAGGCAGTCTTGGAGGCATCTTGGGCCGTCTTGGAGGCATCTTGGGGGGCGATGCTATCGGTCCATGTGTTCCCCGAGCAGATTTGGAAAGCTTTCGGGGAAGTGGGGGAGGAAGAGGAAGTGGAGGAGAATGAGGAAAAAGGAGAAGGGGGAGGATGTCTCTTCGGAGCCTCTTCAGGAACTCTTGGGCTCGATTGGGGCATCTTGGGATCGTCTTGCAGGCCATGTTGGGGCCATCTTGGGCTCTCTTGGGCCCCTTGTGGGCCTCTTGGGGCCCTTTGGGGGCTTCTCGGGTGCCTCTTTGGTCGTCTTATGGCGTTCCTGGCCTGTCTGACGCCGTCGGGAGCCGTCTTGGTGGCCTCTCTGAACCGACTTGGGGTCCTCTTGGGGCGCTTCGGGGCCGTCTTGGAGGCCATCTTGGGCGTCTTGGAGGTCTCTTGGGCCGTCTTGGGGTCCTCTTGGGGCCGTCTTGGAGGCCCCTTGGGCCGTCTTGGGGCCCTCTTGGAGGCCTCGTGGGCGATCTTGGGGGCCTCTTGGGCCGTCTTGAGCCGTCGGTAGGCCGAAAAGAAGCGAATGCCAAAATCCTTCAAAAAGCCAAGGGGAATCAATGATTTTGGCCTCTTCGGGCGCTCCTGGGGGACCTCGTGGAGCCCTCTTGGGCCGTCTCGGAGGCCTCTTGGAGCCCTCCTCGACCGTCTTGCGCCATCCTGAGGCTATCTTAGGCCGTCTTGAGTGCATCTTGGGCCGTCTTGGAGGCATCTTGGGGCCATCTTGGCCGTCTGGGAGGCATCGTGGAGGCCATCTTGAGCCGTCTTGGAGAATTTTTGGTGGACGTTGAGGTCGTTTGCGGGCCTGGAGTTCCTTCCCGGGACCCCGGCGGGACGGGCCGAAGCGCCAGGGGGAGTTCTTTTGGAAAAACAGCCAAAACCAAAACCGTAAGAAGTCCAGCACGCCAGGCACCACTGTGATGAATCAACAGGGGGCGGCGGATCTAGTGGCCTTCGGCCCATCCCGCCATCGTGCCTGGGTTGTAGGTCAGAGGCTTCCTGGATGCCTGTGAGGATCTTGGGAGGCCTCTCGGCTGCCTCTTGGATGCGGTTTTGGGGGTGTTTTGGGGCGTCTTGGATGCCTCTTGGGGCCTGAGTTGGGCCTTGGGTGCCCTCTTGGCGGCCCCTGGGGGCCTGCTGGGCGCACCTCGGAGGCTTGTGGGGGGATCTTGGGGCGGAGGGCTCAAACTG